ATCTATAAAAAGAACGTTAAACATAAAATGTCTTTATAAAATATATATATATATATATATATATATATATATATATATATACATATATATATAAAACAAATCACTGATCTTCTTTTTCGTACGAATGAAGAAAAAAAAAAAAAAAAGCGAAAGATTTGATAACAAAACTAAAGAAGAAAACAAAAAAGAAAGATAGATGAAGTAAATAATAGAGAGCTATATATTATGAGGAATAGAAAGAGTGAAATACTGAAATGCGAACAGGCCGAATGTATAGATAAATGCACATAGAGGTTTTTCAGTTAAAAATATCTCGAAAGTCTTTGATGGGGTCTGGCATTCTGGTCTTCTCTACAAGCTGAAAAGCCACGCTATCTCTCGGCACGTTTTTGAGCTGATCCAGTCGTTCCTATTAAATGAAACTTATTCTGAACGGCCACTCCTCTACATCCTTTCGTGCTAAAGCGGTTGTCCCGCAGGCTTCCATCCTTGGTCCTACGCTGTTTTTAATCTTCAGTAACGACCTTCCCGATGGCATAAGGTCTCAACTTGGCATCTACGCTGAAGACACTACGATTTACTTGTCTCGATAATATCAGTCACAGACGGTCAAAATGGCAACCGTTGTACAAAACAACCTCAAGACGTTGACTGAAGAAAATATTCGCTTCTCAATATTAACGCCCCCAAAACTAATCTGTTTTCTATTAATCATCTGAGAGAACCCTCTCTGACGTCAATCAGCATGGCTGATGCTATCCTCCAAGAAAGTGACTCATTGCGCCTTCCCGGGGTAACATTCTCAGCTGATATAAGGTGGAAAGACTGCATTAGATTCACCGCCAGATCAGCTACGAAGAAAGTCGATTCACTGTGTCGAGCGAGACAAATTTTCTCTCCAAAATCTATCCTGCATATCTATAAGTCTACCATTTGTCTATGCTTAGAATATTGCTGTCATATATGGTCCGGTGCCCCTGCTATTTACCTGGAGCTTCGCGATAACATCCCAAGAAGAATCAGCAATATTAGTACTCCTTATTACGCGACTCAGCTTAAGTCACTTATCGACTGCTGCTAGGTTGCCTCTCTGTGCCGTTTTTATAAATACTTTCATGGCTATTGTTCGGATGACCTCTACGTTATGGTACCTAGAATGTATGAATTTAAGCGCAATACTAGACAGGCGATGAAATCTCATCAATTTACAGTTAAGATAGCTAGATATATTCGTAACTTCTATGCTCACAGTTCCTTATTCTGCACTTCTCGCCTGTGGAACTCACTTCCGTTTACATGCTTTCCAACCAACTTTAATCTGCAAAAATTGAAATGCAATATCAATCACTATCTACTGTCCTCCTGATTGCTCTTTTCTTTCTCCTCATTACTAATGTTTCTGTTCCTGATTCCTCCACACCCAGTAACCACTTGTGCGCTAGTGGCTGTACTGCTTTGCTTGGCGTGATACCGATTTAAAAAAAAAAACAGGAAATGTTTATACTATAATACGTTTTGTGTTTATTGAAGCTTCATCAGGGAATGAAATATGGAGAAAAAAAAAAATTCTGGTATTTTTAATTGTATTGTTGTTTGTTTTGCATTAATTATGCAGACCTCGCGTGCATCTGTCTTGTCAATCAGCGTTCGTGGGTATAATTCATGTGTGCATGTGCATCATAATTCTATTTTGTCTATGCGAAATTCGGATGAACATGTGTATTCGTTTGTGACAGTGTGTGTGTTAGCGCGCACGTCTAGTAAGCATTTTTATCCATGTTTGGTGCTGGTTCACGTGTTAATTTAGGGACGTTCTGTGAGAGGGTGAAAGAATTTAAGTTACACCGGTTGTGGTAGTAGGAAAACATATCTTAGATTTTTAAAGTATGGATTTTATAATTTCTTATAATTTTATAATTTTTTATGGACTTTGAAGTCAACACCAAGAGGCTCTGGTTGTTGACGTCCATATACAATGTTATATTTACATACGCTCTATCCCTGATATTGAACATTAACCCATAAATATAGTATACCTTAAAACTATATTTCATCATATATATATATATATATATATATATATATATATATATAAAACTATATTTTATATATATATATATTTATATATATATATATATATATATATATATATATATATGGGGGGTATGTGTGTCTGGGTGTGTATGAAAAAAAAAAAAATCTGGATACTGTAATGCTCGTTATGGCATCTTGAAAAACAGAATAAATGACGTTGCGTGAAAAGTCCAGCGAAATACAGAAAATAGTGGGGAACTTGACATTTCCAGTCTGCTCAAATAGATAGATAGATAGATAGATAGATAGATAGATAGATAGATTTTAATTCGTTCTTCAGATTTGTAATATATATTGTATACTGTATTAATAATCCACGATTATGTAATTTTGTTTCTTTTTTTTTTTCTTTGTTTATTTTACTTTTACTGTATCAGTCACTCGGAATTTTCTATCTCCCGATCTGCCCTAATTAGGTTTATTATTTACCTGTATCGCTCGAAATCATCCGGAAGAAGTCTAAACATCGAAAAAGGAACGGTTGATGAAAAAGCGACAAAAACCATACCAAAGTAGGGTTCAAAATATTATGACATTTCACAAAAAAATTAGGAACCAATGCAAGCAAGCTAAAGAGGAATAACTCAACGAAAAATGCGTAGAAATAGATTACTTCAGAGATGGAACGAATATATCGGGGAACACTTACACGACGATAGAGGACAAGCGACAATTCACGGAGATATCGAGGGACCAGAAATATTAAAATCTAGAGTTGACTCCAGCCAAATTGAACAGTAACAAAACAACAGAACCAGACTGAGTTGCTACAGAGATGCTGAAAGCCTTAGACGGCATTGACTAAGAAGTCAAGTGGAAACGAATGTGAACTCTAACAGACAATGAACCTAATGAGCTATATAACAAAACTTATCATCCGAATTTTGGTTAATAGAGCGCGCAGCAGAATTAGACCGGAAATATCAGTGTGGTTTTGTTAACGATATTAGAACAAGTAATGACATATTTGTGCACAGAATGATATCGGAAAGAGTAAAACAAATGTAAAAGGATGTATACCTATGTTTTATATATTATGCAAAAGTGTTTGATAAAATACGTCACAAAGAACTGTTGGAATTGCTAGGTAAACTGGATATATTTGGGAAGGGGATTAGAATAATCCAGAATCTATAACGGGAGCAAACCGTCTGGATGTGGATAGAAAATGAATTCATTAAATATGCAAAAATAGAAAGGCGTGTGAAACAAGGATATTTCTTCTCTCCAGACGTTCAACCTATACAGCGATTCGATTCTGAGAGAAGTCCTACCAAGATTTATCATTGGTGATCAAAATCTTAACAAAAATAGATGTGCAGATGACATAGTCTTTATAACAGACACGGAAAGTGTTATACATCATGACGGTCGTCTTCGAGTATAGAATCCAGAGGTTAGCAGTGAATATTTCGAAGACAGTAGGAAAGCGTTGTTCAGGTTAGCAGTGGATATTTCGATAAAAGTAGCAGAGCATAGTTCTTCCTTCTGGTTCTCTTCGCCTGACAAGCTGGACTGGACATTCGGGTAGAGTGAACAAAAATGGCCGCCTTTATACACGACGGATAGAATGTTCTGCGGCTTCTGATTGATTAACCTTCTATTGGTAGACTATAAAGTGAGTCAAGGCAAGTTGACTGGCTCACTAGTTACACATATATACACAAAAAACTGTAACAGAAAGGAAATCACAAGAACTTCTACAGAAAGTAGTGAAGGAAATCAAGAATAAAGGACTAAACATCAATTGCAAGAAAATGGAATATATTCTTGTCACCAAAAGAAACAAGAAGATACCTAAATCAAACAAGTACAACAATATAAATATTTATAAAGTTACTTTAACAGAGGAAGGAAAGTGCGCAAAACGAATTCCTAAGGCGCATTTGGTATAGCGAAAGATGCCTCCCAAAATCTAAGCACAATAGAAAAGATAGTACTGAACTGTGATGTAATATCAGTTCTCCTATATGGCAGTTAATACAGGGCAAACTCCTCACAGATGAAGAAGCGACTTGAAGCAGCAGAAATGTGGTTCTACAGAAGGATGCTGAGAATTCCGTGGACTGAACATAAAAGCAACGACGAAGTTTTCGAGAAAATGGAAACAAAATCAGAAAGTGTCAGTTGACATTTCTAGCCTTGAATTGCAAGCAGTCTGAAATAAGAACTACTTTGAAATCCAAATTGTGAGAAGGCAGAGAGAAACTACTCCACTATCATTCCAAACAATCGGGACAATTCTTCTTCTTCTTCTTCTTCTTCTTCTTCTTCTTCTTCTTCTTTTCTGTGTCCTGTCTATTTGGGAGGTAGACGATCACGGCTCACCAAAATTTCCTTTCCTTTGTAGTTTTTAGTAAAGTATGTCTGTCTAGTATTTATTCTGCTATTCGAATCTCTATCCCCTACTCATTGATTCCCTTTTCTCTGCTTCTAAATCCCACCCAATTTCACACTTGTCTTCTTTATCTCTTTTTTGGACTCTTTTTTTTTTAGTGCCACATCACTCTGCCTGTTTCTTTTCATTTATGACGCAGTAAAAGAAAACCAACATTTCCGTTCACTTTTCCTTTGCCTTCTTTCTTCTCCTTTGAATCTGAGTAGAACTCCAATAAAATTCCATATAGCTTCTACTGGCCGGCGTATTCATGGGATTTAGTGATATTCCACGTGATATGATTTAACTTGCTGGGTTTATTGATCTAAGCTTGTCCCACAGTCGACCATCAACCTGTTTCTTGTCTTCGCTTCCGTCCAAAATCGCCATCGGTTATTGTCAGAAGAAATAAGATTCGAAAAGACTGTAAAAGACTGCCAAACCACTTTCATCACTCGTCAATCTCTGTCTCTGTATGGAAGATTGCTTTCAGTTTCTTTAATGCACATGCATAACGTGTATCAATTGGATGTGTACATGTATGTATCTATTAATGAATTGTCGGAATGTATTTGCCTGCTCAGATGATTGTCAGCGTCTCACTTGACAGATCTTGATCTCTCTCTTCCTCTATCACTCTCTCTCTCCCTGTCTCTCTCTCTCTCTCTTTCAGATTTCCCTTTTACCAGGACGTTTATCTTGCCTTAATTTCATCTCTCTCTCTCTCTCTCTCTCTCTCTCTCTCTCCCTCTGTCTCTCTATCTATCTTTTTCAGATTTTTCCATTTTACCAGAACGTTTATCTTGCCTTAATTTCATCTCTCCCTCTCACCCACATTCCGCCGTCTCTATCTCACGTTCAGATTTTTCTTTTTACAACGGCGTTTATCTAATTTTTTAATTTTATTTCCTTTCCTCCCTCTCTCCCTCCTCTCTCTCTCTCTCTCTCTGTCAGATTTTTCCATTTTTCCTGAACGTTTATCTTGCCTTAATTTCTCTCTCTCTCTTTTTTTTCCTGTCAATTCTTCACATCTGTTTCCTTCTTTTTGTGGGGGGGGGGCCTCTATTCCTGCTTTCTTTTCTTTTCTTTTTTTCTTTTCTTTTTTGTTGCTCCTGTTCCCTTTCTCTCTCTATCTTTCATATTTTGAGTGTATCGCAGGTTTTTTTTTTTTTGATCTAGAACGTTGCTTCCGTTTAGAACTTTCTTCAAAATCATCTTCTACCCTCCAGTTTACTAATATTTACAAATATAAAATAGATAAAATACTAACCTAACACTTCTGTCTTTTTTCTCTTTCCCATTCACTCACTTTTCTGCTACCTGTCTACCTTCGTCTATCTATCTATCTATCTATCTATCTATCTATCTATCACAGTCTCTCTCTATCTATCTATCTATCTATCTATCTATCTATCTATTAGTGTGCGTGTGTACAAATAGTGTGCATATCTCATATTTTAAAAGGCATTAAGACAACCAGTCACTGAAAAGTTCTCGGCCCGACAAAATACTAATGTCTGCTCATTTGGTTAGTTTTTGAGGAGCGGATCGAACTAAAAGCTTTACTTTTGATTGTTTCCTTTTTATGTCTTATTATCTCTTTGTCGGTTATTTAAAGCCATAAAAAATATAGTTTACAATATTTGGTGGGTGGAGGTAATAATGGTTTAATGATACGACATAGGGGGGGAGAAGGGGTCGATTCATACCTTTTCCAATGGTATTTGAGCGTAAGTGAATATAACGAGACATTATCTATTGCAGCCCCCGCACATACAAGATTGCAGCACCTGACATTCAAAAACGGTCACCCATCTAGGCACTGCCTAGGCTCGACGTTGCTTAACTTCGGTAAACTTACGAGAACCTTCTTATACTGTCTGATCAGGGGATTAAAAAAAAGTCGCGTAGCACCAACCATTAAATATCAGAATCTTGATAAATAACAGTCAAAACCATTGTTTCACGGGGAGTCAAACATGAAAGAAGTCGCAAACATGTTATCTGGAATAATAAGATAGACAGAAACAAATTGAGGACACGGATTCCAGATCACTATATAATAAAAAAAAAAACTATATTTAAACGAGTCTTTGAACCAATTCGTATAGAATTACTCATGAGACAGATGAGATAGATCTCTGTTTCCTTTGCCTCTAAGTTTGTTCGTACCTGTATATTTACATTATTGCCAGTCTATATTTAACTACGCTTTTCTAGATTACTCTGTTGTTCCTATCTATTTATCTGTCACATTTTGTTCGTATCTAACTCTCTATTTATTTGTTTATCTATCTATCTATCTATCTATCTATCTATCTATTTATTTATCTACCTCAATGTGCTTCCATCTATCTCATTCTGTTCATATCTATCTATCTATCTATCTACCTCATTCTGCATATCTCATTCATTCTGTTCATATCTCATTCTTTTGAATTATCTATCGCATTCTGTTCATATCTATCTATATATCTAATTCTGTTTATATCAATCTAATTCTCTTTTTCTATCTATCTATCTATCTCATTCTGTTCATATCTATCTATATACCTACACCTATATCTAATTCTGTTTATATCAATCTTATTCTGGTTTTCTATCTATCTATCTTTCTCTCTCTCTCTCTCTCTCTCTCTTTCATTCTCTCCCTTTCTCCCTCTCTCCCTCTCTCTCTCTCTCTATCTATCTATCTATCTATCTATCTATCTATTTATCTATCAATCTAATTCGGCTCTCTGTTAATTTCATTCTATTTCCTCATATTTATTGATTTTTCTCATTTTTTTTTAATATTTCCCATTCAGTTCATACCCACATACCTATCAATCTATCTGTTCATATATGTCTCTCTTTTTCTCTTTTCTCTCTCTATCTCTTTTCTACACTCACACAAACACACACACACATATATATATATATATATATATATATATATATATATATTAAAAATGGACAAGGTCCGACAATTTATTTATTAAAGACATTTTTTTATGTTTAACGTTGTTATTTTTTTTTTTATAGATACAAGTATTTAAAAATGTCTGTTTATGAAATTAAATAACATTTACCGGCCTGAATGTCAAAGAACGAATATTTTCTATGAAAATTTCTCGGACATTCAGGCTGGTAAATGTTATTTAATACTGTTTATCATAAACAGAGCATTTGCTTAAATACTTGTATCTATAAAAAAAATTAAAAAAATAACAACGTTAAACATAAAAAATGTCTTTAATAAATATATATATATATATATATATATATATAAAGAGAGATACATTTATATCTCTATCACTGTTTATCTCGGTATGATATCTCTGAATCAATCTACCTTGAATTCTACCTATATAGTCTACCACCATTCAAGCAGATTCCGAAAGACTCTGTTTTAACGTGCTGATATGTCTCTTCAACTGTAACAAACAACGCCTATAAGTCTTGTCACGCCCAACAATTGATTGCTGTAAAAGTCGCTTCGAGATAAAGCAAAGAATAAACTCGTACATAAAGTCTCCGTCAAAAGGGTGACCAGCAATGAATACTAAATTACTTTTGACCTTAGGCCAATGCCAGAGTTAAGCATATTGACCAAAGATTGCATATTAAACCCCCTTTGTTTTCGTCTTCACTCTTAGATTCTTTTTTGTGTGACAGTTCCCGGCGTTCATTTTCTTTCCTTTTTCTTCTCTTACTTTTCATTCTCTTTGCTTACTTTAGTTTTCTTCTGATGTTGTGCTTCTTTTCTTTTCTTTTTTTTTGTCTTTCTGTCATGAGTTACCATTATCCTTTTCGTCTTCATTTGCTTTTTGATTTCGTTCATCATTGTATTTATTTTTCTTTGCCTCTCCTGAATAGTTGTTTATTTTCCATCCTTATCTACATTACCCTCCCGTCTTACACGTTTCCTTTCTTCCTTTATACCCAATCGCTTTTCTCTTTAATGTGTTTTACATCGATTTCCCTCATTTGATTTGTTCTTTTTCTAATATCAGAACTCTTTATATATTTTCTTATTTTTTTCTCCCTAATCTGATACACGTAATTTTGTTTTACTCTTCCATTTCTTTCTCAGGCTTTTTTTTCTTTTCTTCAAATTTCCACTTCACTTTTTACGATTTACCAGAAACATCAAGTTATACAGGGCTTCTTTTTTTTTTCTTTGATTGACACACTCTTCGATCTTCAGTCAAGAATTTGCACAGAAAACACACCGGAATGGAAATTTGTCTTCCTTGATCCTCAATATGTTACTTGTAATTTTTTTGTGTCAAGAGTAATACAAAAGGTAAATATGTAGATTAAATAGCTTTTATTTTTGTTATCCACGCCGGACAGAGGTAAAAAGAGATCGAAACCGAGGTATCAAGCGAAAATGTCACAGAATCCAGAGTTTAACTCAGAATAAACTAAGACTATGAATATTAATTCCGAAATAAACTGTTTCCATTCTTGCACTCTAACTTATAGACAAATTCTCAAACACAGCTTTCACTCTAAGCTGAAGACATTTTTCTAATAACGACATACATTTTATAATCTAGGACCAACATTTTAAAAGATACGAGATCCAATCCCGAATATTTATGCAGTCAATATGAATTTATAAAATCAGAAGTCTTTAGTGTGACCGAACACCATATTTATTTCTGTGTTGTAAACTGTAAAAATATATTTAACCTAGAAATAATCAACGTATGGACGTTGATTATTTCTAGGTTAAATATATATAAAAAATATGTTTTTAAATTCAGTATATTTTGTCTCAATTATTCTTCTAAACATGTCTTATATATATATATATATATATATATACATATATATGTATGTGTGTGTGTGTGTGCTTGCTACGTAATGTTTGTCAAAAACCTACCATTCAGCGGTAGAAATTGATTGAAAGTTGACGAAATTGAAAGATACGCTTAGTTGAATAAATCGAAAGTTAGAAATACATGTGGCGCAATTTCGAAAGAAAAACAACCCTACCAATGGTTGACTTTTAAATATATTGATCATTCTTTCAATCAAGCTAATAACAATTCGCAAACGTGGCTGTTATTGATGTATAAAATATCCAAAATTTGTATTTTGTCGATGCTATCAATTAATATTTGTCATCAGCAAAGGTGTGAGGAAGGAAAGAGACGAAATGAAAACCAGGTGGATTTTAAGCAGTGCATTGTTTTAAAAGTGTCGTTATTTTTGTTTGAAAACTAAGACAGAACTGGGTAAGTCACGTGTCAGCAACGGTAACGTTCAACAGCAAAGTGTGATGGCGTGTAATTATATTTTTATAGGCACTCAAAAATACGTAACATTAAACTATACTTAACTTGATTATGGTTGCTTATATTAAATGTGAATGGCTTCAATAATTTTGAGTCTATTTTTTTTTTTTTAATAATAATAATAATAATAATAATAATAATAAAATAATTCTTTAGTTTAGACCCTGCTGTAACAATAAAAGATTTAGAACAAGGAGAAGTTTATATCGTTATAGTTGTAAAGTGAAGGTGCATAAGAAAAATGAAAGAAATGTTTAAAGAATAAGAAGGGTACGACTGGTATTAAAAATGAAAATCAACAGAATTATGGCATTAATAAACCCATCCCAGTGGTGGCAAGTTTCAACATCTTTGAAATGAATGACAAATGGATTCTAAAACAAGGTTTGTATAAGATGGCAAAAGGCTGATGTAGACCGTCTATACATACCCCGTAAAGAAGGTGGAAGAGGTCTTATTAAGAATTGTCATACAAGACAACCATGCTCATGGAAACAACAAATCCTGATGATAAAATTGGAAACAACATGAAAACAGCACAATAATAAAAGAATAAATACAAAAATTTACATTTAGTAGATAGTAAAAAAAGAAGAAGAACCAACTATTGCAAAAAGATATGAAAAGAAAGAAGGATAAAGCCCTTGAACAGATGAAACAACGCTGGAAGACAAACCTCTGCATGGAATATCCAGAAGAATAAAGAATGTTGATAAAGAATCATCGATGTTACGACGATTAAAGTCTGAAACTGAAGGCTTTATTGCAGCGCAAGACCAGAGTCTTTTTAATATTAAGGCAAATAATAATCCAAAATAATAGACAATACCAAGAAACAATCAGGAACTAATTGCCCCAAATGAATATAAAATCGTCACGATTAGTGGGGCAGCCCTCGGACAATTGCAAACACTTTGGAAAAGAGCAAACAGAATGAACATCGGCCAGCGCCGGTTACAGAAATAGAAGATGTCACCATTCTTGGGATTATACCATCCACACAGACAGAAAAATTGAAGCAAAAGGCCGGACATTATTGTCAAAAACAGAAAGAAAAAAAATTGTTCTAACATATGGCTTGTCCAGCAACATAGCAACAAGGAATTTTACAAAAGACCTGGAAATTGAAATAGAAAAATCTGGAAATTGAAAACAAGAATAATTTATTTTTTTTTGGAATTATTGAACAAAACAACACATTGAAAAATGTAAGAGACATGAAAATTGCCATTTACAGCACAACACTTTTGTCTTTAACGCTAGCAACTTCATCGGAGATAAAAAAAATAACATGAAATGTGGCCATAATAACACACCACGACCTGCCTCAGGTCTTTCCGCAGAAGGTAGTGTGTCCATAGCAGAAATCGAAATGATGATGATGACATTAATAATAATAATAATAATAATAATAGAGGCATCAACAATCCCTGTTGTATAATCGGAATGGAAAAATCCAGAATAATTGAAGGGATTCCTTGAATACCATGCCTTAAAAAATACAAAATAAGTACAACACACACTTTATGAAGGGCTTTATCTATGTATTTTTTTTAATTGGCGGAAAATGTCCCATTTCTAACCTTTTTAGTCAGGGACCTGTACCCACCAGAAATCAAAGGAAATAATAATAATAATAATCTTAATAAGTACCTCCTTATTGATATTCAAAAAGCTGTCAAAATAGAAGGATTTGAAATAGAAATCTCAAAAATGTCCCATATGGGAACATCAACAATCCCTGTTGTAGTTGGAGCCCTATGATTGGTTGGAAAAGATTCCAGTAGACTAATTGAAGAGATTTCTGGAAGTCCATGCCTCAAAGAGATACAAAAACATGTTCTCACAAGTACAGCCCACACTTTACGAAGGGCTTCATCTATATATATATATATATATATATATATATATTGTCAGTGGAAAGTGTCATGATGTCATTTCTAAACGGAAAGAAATGTGTAAACGCCAGAAATCAAAGGAAACAATAATAATAATAATAATAATAATAATTTCATTTTGATAAGATAAATGGCATGCGGACCTACGTGATACGTTTTTGTGCAATAATCAAAAAGTAAAAACTCATCTAATCAAAAGAAGAAATATATTTTAGATAGACGATACGATTTTTTTCAAAAAACCTCAGATGTTTGCTCATTGAAATACTGATTTTGGAAAGTGGATAGTACTGAGAACTTTTCGGCATCCACTTTTATTTAGCCTATAGTTTGCGTGGCTGTCAATTTTGTTTCGCATTGTGTTCGAACGCACATATGTAAGATTTCGGACAAAATAAAAGTTATGCTTGCTACGGAATGTTTGTCAAAACCCTACCGTTTAGCGGTGGAAATTGATTGAAAGTTGACGAAATTGAAAGATACGCTTAGTTGAATAAATCGAAGATCAGAAATACATGTGGCGCAATTTTGAAAGAAGAACGAACCGGCCAATAGGTGACTTTTATTTATTTCGGCTATTTATGAGAAATTAATGCTTCAAATAAAAGTGAATATTTTAGAATAATTTGTTAATTAGTACTCTAACTGAACAAAAATAATAATAAAATATATAATGTTAGCCACCTTTTCTATTGTATAAAAGACCGATGACAGAATTTCGAGGTGGAAGGGTGTTTTAATTTTGAACTCGGTGACCTTTTAATTTTTAAACTTTATGATCAAATGGAATGGTTAACGTTCACTGCTAACTTTCCAATTTGTTATAAAATGTAAAAGTTAAGATTCAAATTTGTGTCGGTCTGGGATCCTAACTTAGCATAAAAATGATTCATCTGAAATTGTTATTATACTGACTCTTACCTTCCTTTATAATGTGAGTATATATTTTTTTATTTTCTCAAATTTCATATTACTTTCTTCCTTCTTATTCGTTCGCATTTTCTTGAAAGAGCTGATTTGTGTTTGTTAGGTGTTGCTGTGGGAAATTTAGTGAGGTTTGTGAAATTCCCAATACATGCAAAATGGGGTTTAAATTTGGAGGAGTTGAGAACCTGGAAACTATACGAATGTCCCTGGCTACCTCGCTTGGAACAAACTATCCAAACAAATGGATCCAAATGGTCTACATCAAAATCTATGTGTGCTAAAACTCTCAAAATGCTACAATTTCACTCGTGATCTTTACGAACTCTACTATAACCTACCTTACATCTTTATTAAATTATCAGCTTTCCTCAATGCCCTGCTGAAAGCCTGGTTCTATAACTTCATGTTTTCTCCTCCGTTCGGAAGCATGGCTTTTCTGAAAAGGGCATATGATGAAAATCTCCAACGGCCCATTGATCGTTGTTCTCTGACCCACTTGAAGTACAGTAAGCGATGCCATGGTACATTTTTTGGGTAATATCAACGGAACCCCATCGAATGTAATATACGCTAAACAATGTATTAACGGATTAAAATGATATGCCCATTGATACAATTATGTATTCTTCTCTGTCCTTGTCCGACACTGGCGGTTCCGTTTACGCATTATCTATGGGCAGCCGCAGATTTCCTGTAATGCTGGTGTTTGCCTAGAATTCATATATTCCTGATATACTCTTGTCGTTGTTGTCTGAGAAAGCCTACCACGCTTACCATATTGGAAATAAAGTGCATTCACGCTGGATGTATCAATCATTTCGCCATCGAACTATATTCAAACTTTTCCGTGTCCCATGATG